GGTGGAACCTTGCTCCCAAATTACTAAGTCACCTAGGGGCCTGCCAGAGCCTGCAAACAGCACCCCTATCTGCCAGTGGCCATCAGGTCTCCTGGATCACATGGTCCACGCTGTACAGCAGCCCCGACAGCAGCCTGGACCTGTTGAAGAGCTTTTCTCCTGATCCAACCCCTACTCAAAGCTAGCCGCTTTCCAAATCACTTGGTATATGGGCTGGAATATCACACTCGAGTGAGGAATGTGCTCTCTACGGGATCCAAATAGGCCCACTAACCAGTGTGCTTCTTTCCGGGTGGTGGGAGAAGCCAGGCGCAATGGCTTATCCTTCACCTTAGAAAGAGCATGTCAGCACGCCCCACACACTAGACTTCTAAGAATTTCATCGTGGTAGAAGACCCTTGACTTTTCCCCCCATCCTCTGATGCACATATGCGCTACCAGAAAGTCCAGTGTTTTTGTTCCCCGCTGCTCACTTGGTCTAATCAGGATAAAGTCATCAATATTGCAAGTCAATGTGATGTTTTGTAGGAAGAGACAGATGATCAAGATACTATCGAACTAAATTATTTCAGGACTGGAGAGTCAATACATCCCTGAGGTGAAACTGTAAAGGTGTACTGCTGGCCTTGCCTACTGAGAGTGGATTGCTTCCGGTGGTCCTTCTGGACAGGTACTGAGAAAAAGGCATTTGATGCATCAATAGCTGCACACCATGTACTAGGAGATACATTAATCTGCTTAAATAAGAGCATTACATCTTGTACAGCAGCTGTTGTATTAACAATATGTTCTCACATATCGTACATACATGCTTTCACATACATGCAATCCATATATGTGCTTTCTTCTTACTATTTCTTAATTATATTTCCCTATTAAATTTTCAAGTTGGCTATTGTAAATGATGCTGATTTAGTATTTCTTGTTCATTCTAATAACTTTCTGTAGCTCATCTTAGAGTGTATGGCATAGACAATTATATTGTTTATAAGTGAGCTCAATTTTGTCCGTCCCCCTCCCCCCCAGCACTTAGGCTTTGCAGTCATTTCAGGTTTTTCACTGACTGGCTTATTCAGTGTATTCGGTGTGAATTATAGTTGACCCCTTACACTGTTAATATCTTCACAGAATGCTTCCCGAACCCATCATTAAGCGGTGTTGATGCAGACTGTAGAGGTACAGTACCTTCCTCAGAAAACTCAAGAAGGTCTCTTCTATTCCTATTTTCTGTGAGCTGAAACGTTTGAAGATGTGGACTCAAGAATATATCTTGAACAAATAAATAAAAAAGCCTCATCTGTTTTTTTTTTCTCCATTTCCCATGTGTCTCTGCATCTTTAGTAATTATGATTATGTTACACACAAATAGTTAATTATTTTACTCTTGGGACTACTTTAAGTTTTAAAGGACACTGAGCATTTCTGTTGTGAGCATTCCATTCCTATCTGGGGTATCTAGAGGGTCTAATAAATAATTTTTTTGTTTTATGGCTTGTATCTATAAACACCTCCTGCACTGAAATAAGAACCGACTTGAAGGCAGATGATGTTAACACTCAACGGTAAGACATTACAACATGCCACTGGCATCAAGACTACCCTTCTCTACTATACACATTAGAGATGGGGAAAGCACATTGATTCAGTGCTGTTACAAAAAGGCACGACCTCAAAGACTCCTGAGTCATCTCAGGACCCAGGGTGTTAGGACATATGGTGAAGAATGCTTCTAAATCTGTGCTGTTTAAATTCTTTGCTTACTCCATGGCTATTTCCCAATCTAAGGGCTGGGGAAAGCTAACTGTAAATGGTGCAAAATGTTCTGCTAATGATTTATCATGCCTTATCTACCCTGCCTTCGGAAATTGCATGCATGGCCATTCCAGCTTTTTGTCTGTTTACAGCGACTCTCCAGCTGCTCTCAACACCTCTAAGGGATAAGCCAGTAAGAGCATAAGGGAGCATTAACCCATGTTTTCTCTGAACCAAGAGGTCTTTTGAGGAAATGGGTTAAACGTTGATACTCCCAGGTGAGTGAATAATAGTTCAATGAGACAATTCTGTCCGTGTGACTCCAGCTCCAATTTCTAGCCAATTATATTAAAATATGAAAAAATATGAGTAAACATGATTAATTTTGTCTAATAACATGTGTTTTTAAAAAGTTCCCTCCACTGGCTACAGGAGATGGTGACTTCAGGCTCCTTAACCCCCTCTGAAAGGAGTCTCAGCCAGGGTCACCCCACAACACACAGGAGCATTCCTTGTCCCAGAGATGTCCCCCATTGGTTTTCATTTTCCCTTCTAGTCCTTCCTCCCCCAACACCCCTGCTCCTTCTCCCCCCAGTTCCCTCCCTCCATCTACCTCAGATGTCTATTTTATTTTCTCTTCTGAGCAGAATTCAAGCATCCTCCTTTGAGCCCTCCTTGGCTTTTGGGGGGTCAGTGGATTATGGAATGGTGATCCTGTACTATATGGCTAATATCCACTTATAAGTGAGTACATACCATGTGTGTCTTACCTCACTCGGGATGATCTTTTCTAGTTCCATTCATTTGCCTGCAGCTTGCATGATATCTTTGTTTTTAATAGCTGAGTAGTATTCCATTGTATAAAGGTACCAGTTTCTTTATCCATTCTTCGGTAGAGGGACACCTAAAATCTTCAACCCAAAATTTGTCTTGCCTATAAGAAGAAGTGTAGGGATTAAGATGGAGCAGAGATTGGGGGAATGGCAAACTGATGACTGGCCCAGCTTGGGACCCACCCCTTGGAAGAGAGCTGACCCCCCTCTCTCTCTGCTATGCTTGCAGACAGGACCCTAGCACGGCTGTCTTCTTAGAGGCTTCATCCAGCAGCTGATGGGAGCAGATGCAGAGTCCTACAGTCAAACAATAGGCTAAGCTAGGGGAGTCTTGTGGAAGAGTGGGAGGAAGGATAGAGGGAGCCAGAGGAGCAAAAGGACAACACAAGAAGACCTACAGAGTAAACTAACCTGGGCCCATGGGGGCTCACAGAGACTGAACCACCAACCAAAGAGCACGCACCAGCTAGACCTAGACTCTACACATGTGTAGCAGATGTGCAGCTTGGGCAGCATGTGTGTCCCCTAACAAAGGCGATAGGAACTGTCTCAGACTCTGTTGCTTGCCTTTGGATCCCTTTTCCCTAGCTGGGCTGCATTGTCTGGCCTCAGTAGGAGAAGATGCCTTTGATCCTGTCTTGAGACTCCAGGGTGGGTTGGTGCCCCCTGGGGTCTCCCCTTCTCTGGGGGAAGGGAGGGGAGAGTGGGGAGTGGGGATATGGGTGTGGGATTAGACGGGGGGGGGGGGAAGGGGGGGAGGGACCTGGGACCTGGGATTAGGCTGCAAAATGATTATATAAATAAGGAGAGCCAAAAATGAAAAACAAACAAAAAACTAGACAGGGTAACTGTTTTGAATGTGTTCAAGTTTGTACATGAATTCAGTAACCATATTGGAAAGCAAAATAGTTAAGTAACTCAAAGCCACTGTTATCAAAACAATAATTACTAACACTTATTGAAAACTTGCTCTGTGCCCAATGCAAAGCTGGTTGTGTAAGCCATGTCACTAACTAGAAAAGCGGCAGTGGGCACAGTGCGTTGCACTGTACACAAGCAAAGTTTTGTGTTTCGGTCTCCTAAGGAGGCAGAGCACCAGCCAAGCCTCCACCTGCCGTATCGTCTCTCTCACTCCTTCTGAATCAGAGTGGGCACTGCAAACTATGAAAACAGGATTAACAAACGACAAAACAGAGGCCCAAGAAGAGAACCTGGCTGCCTTTCCCAAAAAACACGTGGTTAGTGATGGTGAGGCCACGTTCAGACATATCAAAGGGCATATGTGCTTAGAGTTTGTTCATAACTGCTGCTGCTGCCTATGAGGGAGCAGCAAGGATTCACACCCCTCAAATGTGAGGGGTGAGTTCTCTGACCTAGACACCAGACTTGGAACGTAGTATCTGACCTGATGGACAGAGAAGAAGCTAGATTTTGGGTCTCCTTAACTCTGTTGGAGAAAGCAGACCCATTGTAGGTACTCATTCTGTGTCCTCTGCCCCAAACTTTCTTATTTCCCTCCAGTCCCCATAAATTATTGAGTACCCTCCCTGTTATCCAACCAGGAAAAAAAAGAAAGTGTCTCATTTCTAAGCAGGCTTGTGTAGACAGTCTGATTTTCAGCTGACTTGGGTCTCCATGTAATTCTTCCCTGTGGCTCCCTAAACACACTCACCATGATCTTCTCATCTAAAACCAGGCCCCTGTCCCCTTCCTGTTGTGCAATGACACTCAAAGCTCGTTTCCAGAAAGAATTGGACTAAATCCTGCAACCGCGTGTCCAGAGCATTTCACTCAACTTGAGATGGACCGCAAGAGCGGAAACTGGCCCCCACAAAGGAGATAGTGTGGTCATTTCACTTGTCTGGCAGGTATTTTTACTCTTCCGTCCAACTTTTTAAAAGATGGAATTTTGGGAATATTTTCTTAAGCTCTCAGCATTCTTAGCTTGATCTTCCTTGCCTGGCGACCTCCAGGTTTTCTCCTCACCTGGATTCATAAGCAGGAGCGATTCCTGCAGGTGTTAGGGTTTTTCTCAAAAAGCAATGACTCTGGCAGCACCAGGCAATGACTTCTGGATTTAAGCCAGGTCTCAGGTGGCTCTTGGGTTGTGTCAGCCCAGGCTAACCTTGACATGGTAAATGTTTCCTTTTCTTTCGTACCCCATTCCCTCCAAATAGTACATAGAAAATATAGAAATGAAACGAAAATTTTCCAAGTCTGATGAGATCGCTTTAAGAAGGAAAAGAACATAAATGGTTTGTGTATATGGGGGGGGGGGGGTTTACAAGGCCCGGGAAACTAAAAGGTGAGGGGGCGGGGACAACAGGTGTGGGAGGTAGCAAGCCCTGGATGGGAGGAGCTAGCCGGCGCCGGAGTGATTCACCTTTCCGAGCTGGCTCGCCCCAACTCCGGATCTGGGCGGAGGGGCCCTGGGGCGTGTTTCCCCACCCCGTGCGGACTTCGGAACTGACACCGACGGAGCGGCGCCGGAGCAGGAGAGGTCTCTACTGGACGCCACTTTGGTGGGTTCGGGTCCCGCAAGAATGCGTGCCCTGCCGACGCTGGACTCGCTTGCCAGAATGCGGCCACCTCTCGGGGACCCCAAGGCAGCTGAGGACACTCACGCCGCGCAGCGTCCGAGCAAGAGCGCGGTGGAGAGACTGGCGGCGGACCGCGCCAAGTACGTTCGCAGCGCGCTGGGATCCAGCCGGGGTCCTGCTTCCGAGGGCAGGGCCCCCGAGGCCCCAGGGGGACAGCACCGCACCCCGGTCCCTTCGGCTCTTGCCCCGGCTCCTGTAGCCCGCAGGGCTATCGCTAGAAAGCCTCTGAGACCGGATTCACTGGTGATCTACCGGCAGAAGTGCGAGTTCGTCCGAGGGCCAGGCGCAGACGGCTCCAGAGCGGGGCTGGTGAAGAAGTTTTTCCAGGGGTCTGGCAAGGACAAAGTGCTGGCGGCCCATGAGAGGCCCGGGGCGGCGAGCGAGGACAAGCCGAAGGAAACAGAGGCCGCCTGGACTAAGTCCGGCCAGCCAGCAGCCGCTGGACCGGCCCCTGTGTTACCACCGGCTGCCCCCGTAGTGGCCACGGAGCCCCCAGCCGTGCCCTCGGAGGTGGCTCCCCGGGCTCCTGCCGCGCACTCGGGAGTGGAGCTGCGGGTGTCGCGTCGCAAAGGGTTGCAGCGCTCTCAGTCCGATCTCAGCTCCCGCTGCTCGATAGCCAGGGCTGAGTCTGACACCTTCTTCAAGTACTGCGGCCTGGACCCCGATGTGGTGGAGGCCCTCGGGAGGGAGAACTTCTCCGCTGGGTCCGACTGTGTGACGCTCAAAGTGCGCAGCGTGAGCATGGCTGCTTCCGATAGTAGCTTCTCCAGGTGCAGCGAGGACGGCTTGCAAGAAGAGGAGCTCATGGAGCAGGTGCCCAGCACCACCTCTGTGGTAGAAAGGAACGCCCGTATCATAAAGTGGCTGTTCACCTGCAAGAAGGCCAAAGAAGCCCCCAGTCAGAAGTTGCAAGGACCTGCCTGATTGACACCTGAGCCAGGTTAGTGCCAGGAAGCTGGAGGGTGGGCTATGTGTTTATTTGTGCTGGCTGAACTGAGTGCTGACCAACCACAGCTCACGGTTAGACCACAGCTCCCTACAGTATCAAGGTTACCCAGGGGCCCTCCTTGTGTTGAATTTGAGTGCCTGGAAAGGTCGTGAAGTCAACGCTGTCCCCTTAGCTTGTATTGTAGTTAAAATGGTAGAAATCTGAAGTACAGAGTGCTTCCTGCCCGAGGTTCCACTCGCCTGTCATTTCCTGTTTTGAAAGCAGCCTCTGCTTTTAGGTTATGCACCTGGACAGACTCCTGATGGGCCTTTCTGATGTCCTCGGGGCATCCTCTGATCTAGGTTAAGTCATGGTGTCTCACTTCCAGCAGAAGGGAAGACTCCAGACATCCCCCCTCACCCCCCCTTGCAGGCTTTGAAGTGTTGAGAACTTGATGTTCCTTTAATAAGAAAATATCAGTGTTTGAACTCTTTTGAAAGCTTCCATTTTCGCAACCCATGGCATTAGTCTAGACTGTATAAAGTGCTATGCTTTTCTTTTGATACCGGTGATAATACGGAGTGTAAGCCCCTGACCCAGGACTCCTCTGTCCTCAGCCTGTACTAAAGAGCTAAGGCTGCCCACCCTCCCTCCTTCTAGTTTGTTATGAATGTCTTTGGGAGTAGGAAAGATACCTTCATAGGAGTATCTTTGAGAACACGGCATTTAAACATTTCAGCACCTTTTCTTCATCCTGCCTTTGAGAGCAAGTGCCTATGAAAAATTTTTTTTAATTATGACATTTTCTGGCATTGACATAAATCTTAACTGAAAACACCACACTAGAATGTGGAATCTCAGGGGACAGACACTTAGATGCTCATACTCAGTCAATCTGTGTTTAAGAACAACAAAAATCCCCAAGTGCTGCTGAGTGGACTTTTATCCAGATCTAAAAACAGCAAGGAGAGGTAAATTAATTTTTCTTAAATGCAGAAGGCTGAAGATTTAAGTTCATTCTTATAATTCACTGAGGATTTGCAAATTACATTAGTACAAATCTCCAAGGAATGTATACAGGTAATAACAATAAGGAGAACGACAGAAAGAAGAAAAAAAAAAAAACCTACATCAATTTGTATTTTCACAGAATTGCCTTTGAGTCTGAGATATGTGAATGATGGCAAAGGTGTGCCATAGTGTGGCCGTGGGCACTGTGCCATGCAGGAGGGCAGTGGAGGAGGAGTACAAAGGGGGGTGGCAACTAGCAAAGGGCCTATCTCGCATGCACACGTTAGGGCTGGCTTGCTTTGTCTATAAAAGAAAAGGAGACAGAGAGAGGGTGCTCAGCTTACTTGTTGTCAAAAAATCTGTACATATTTGCTCTGAGAGTGAAACACAAGGGGAGAAAGAATTGCCTACTGGAATGATGTGGAAGAAAACATCATTTGCCTTAGGAAAAGCTCGGAGTTTAAATAACGGTGAGGTAATGAAATGACATACAGGTAAGCTGAAATAAAACCCAGAAGCTAGGAACCCGTGCTTTCTCAGGAATTCTGGGCAGTTCGGGCAATCAACACATGAAATTTACCTCATAAACTTCCCCACTTTACCCACGAAGCAGCCTGTGCTATGCAAGCCCCGCAGAGGTGTCTGGGACATGGGGAAGATGGAGTGACATTCCTGAGCATTCTTCAGCTCACTGAGTTGGTATTTGTTTCAGATCAGGGTTTCCTTCACTTCCTCCAGACTCCCTGTCCTCTGGAAGGAGCAAGTCCAGGTGGCTAGCACCGAAGCTCACAGCAGAGTGTGCTCCTGTGGTTCTGAGGCGATTCCTAGGACACCTAAAGGTGCAGAATCAAAAAGTTTAAGCTCAGGTTTTCTTCTAGTCATTGTGTTGAAATGGGGTTTTATGAAAATTACAGAATATTTGAGGAGACCAAGGGTGGGATTTATAAGTTAAAGAATATAAATTTAATTTACATCAGAGGTTCTCAACCTGTGTTTCATGACTCCTTTGGGGGTCGATGACCCTTTCACAGGGGTGGCCTAAGACCACCAGAAAACACAGACATTTACAACACGATTCATAACAGTAGCAAAATTACCATTGTAAAGTAGCAACAAAAATCATTTTATGGTTGGAGGTCACCACAACATGAAGAACTATATTAAAGGCTTGCAGCATTAGGAAGGCTGAGAAGCACTGATTTACATGAAAGACTGTTTTGTCCACTTAGTAGACACTTACAAATATAATAAAATATCCTATTCAGAATTAAAGTGCAAATTTATAAATGTTTTACTCACAGTCAAATAAAAAAATGCTTACTAGTCAAAACTGAAAACAGCATAATTGCATGTGGTTCATAGAATTTTCTCACCACCTCCTAGGGGCATGTGACTAGATGGACAATTACACATGGACAATTTTAGTAGTGTTTCCCTGAGTATAAATCATGAGATGTGACCTTCCATTTTCTGGTTTTCAATCATCATTTTATCCATCAATTTCTCAAAGGGTTACTTGCTGAAATGTAAGTTTGTCTGACTTTTTAAAAATAAAACATATAAATTGCTGGTTTTATTATTAGCAGAAAAGTGATAACACATTGTTTGGGGTAGTTAAAGGTAAGCATTGCTTGACTTTGGGGTAAAAAAAAAATCCAGTTATTCACAACCACCTTCACATTTCTCCTCTGTAAGGAAAGGGTACCCGTGGAAGCCCTAAACTGCGTCGTATTTGGAAAACAGGTACTCTGTATCCTTCTTGGTCTACACTGGGAGCTCCCTGCTTGTCTCTGGGAACAGAGTTTAAATAAGTGACCAAAAGGCAATAAGGCCATCCTTCCCTGATTCTTGGTCAGCACCTAGACCTATTGGAGATAATAGTATATTTTTAAATGATAGAATGTGTTTGCCTCAAGTGTTCCATTGGACAGCTTACCTTGTTTTTAATCTTGTTGTCCATCCCTAGGGCAGTTAGCACTGGCTTTGTCAACTGTCTACCCCATGAGCTATTGGAGGAAAGAGAAATTTCAAAATTTCAGGAAAAGGCTTGTAGAATGAGTTTGTTTGTTTGTTTTTTTGTTTGTTTTAATAGAAGCCAGATAAATCTCACCTAAATATACCTACAGATTTTTTTCAAAATTTAAAACACAAAAAAGGTGTTTTGAAATAATAGAGCTGTCATAAAACCAAAGACAGGTGAGGCCCTGATTTGTTGTATACTCTATAGCAAATGAGAAGTTACTCATGGTTCATTTCTGCTCTTCCCACAGGAAGCAAACTTTCCCGGACATGAAGGGACCATTAAGTTGTAGGTGTCTGAGACTCCAGAGCCATGTGTTTGGTGTACCCCAACAATACATTATTGCTGCCTTCCTAGGAAGGAAACACTGAGTTGGCAAGGCTTCTGTAATGGCCATGTGAAGTGCTTTGGTGAAGATGGACGGCAGATATCAGAGACCATGCGAGGCATTCTCCTTGGAAGAGCGTGTCTCAAAAGGGCAGCGGAAGGGACAATCACTGTGGGAGAATATTTTCTTACTGACAGTGTCTGCAGTGTGTTTCAATAATATTTAATGTTAATAAATCAATTATATAGACTTTTTAAAGAAAAAGAAGAAAGTATGAAATCAAGCATGGATAAGTAGTATTCTCCTTTCAACTAATTTATACCGCTTAAAGTTCTGTAGGCACAAAGAGGTATTCTACTTAAGCGCTATGGCTGAGACAATCATCCAACACACTCTGGTCTCCAAGCCTCTCTGTAGCTAAATTTCAGTTATCCTACACTATACAACTGATAGTCTTCCATAATGATTTGAAGAGGACCTTTACAATTTCTTGAGGGCTTCTGTTCATTTTGTTAATGACACTTTCCACTTGGACATAGTATGTAGGAGCACCTACTGAGAGACTCATGAGAACTGAGATCCTGCTAAAAATAAGTACATTTTTGTACTTGTATAATTTCTTGAGATTTGGCCAATGTTTATGGAGTCCTTCTACCAGCTCTTTAACAATGTTTCCAATAGAAAATGCTCTATCCCACCCTCATTCTTACTCTCTAAACGGGAAAGAAACAGGTTCATACATAATGCTTGAGGTCAGGTTCCACTTCCCATGCCATGGACTTGCCTGAGTTTGGCATTCTTTGCAGAGGATGTGTTTTGAAGCAAGGGCTGCCTCTGGGGGTTGAGAGGTGCTAGGATCTAAGTATAATTAACAAAGTACTGAAACCCTGGTTCTGAACTTATCCATGAAACTCACAGCAAAAGGATTTTAGATTCAGAATCTTTTGAGAAAAATTATGTATGGACAAAAACCCTAAGAAAAAATGTCAGCCAACTCTTTTAAAGTTTACTGTATTTTATCAAAATGTATTCCTTTAATCACAAAATTATATGAGATGAGAAGAGTCTGGAGAAATTTCTACATGCTAGTATTTTATGATATTGCATTTTGAAGTGTCTCGGCATTTAGTTTAAAGATGTATCATGTGTAACTTCTATTGTTAGAGCAGTTTTTTTGAGTCATAAAAATATTTATTTTTATAGTTGCTAGTTTTCATGTGGTTTCTTTTATTTCACATGGCTTCCCACGCATCAGCTCATTTTTATGTAGTTTTTCTCTTCTGTCATCTTCTCGTGTATGTTTATTTGAACATTTATCTTTTCTTTCCAAGTGTTGCTCTGCGAGGCTTGTTTCAAATACATCTCAGATGATCATTCTTGGGGTTTTGCCTCTCAACACAGCTCAGGAAGTATGTCCTGTGCCGCCCTGCCAGGGCTGCTGTTTTGCATGTCACTTGATGGTACTTAATTCTTAAAATTTGTCACGATGACAGTCATTTATAAAAGATCTTTCATTATGTGAAATTCACTTTTTCAGGTATCCCATCAGTTTTATATCTGAATGTCTTGAATAAAGACTTTAGGATCAGACAGATAGCTCAGCAGTTAAGAGGCCATGTGGCTTATACCTTTTCCCCCTCTGGTATTGAGTAAGTTACTGCTGCAAAGGACAGCGTATAAGTAATTAAATATGTTGGAAAGAAGAGAGATAAGGCAATGAGAGTCACTCAACAGTGGCCTTTTGGACCACTATGTGGGGATACAGTAGCAGTGTCTGGATTGAGAGATACTGATGTGCCAGGGAATTTCTTCATTCTGTTTGTAAATATTTATGTGCATGACTCTTTCACAGTAGAAGAAAAAGAGGCTTTGCTGGACTCTTCTTGTTCTAGTGGTTGAGAGTCCACCACAGTGCTATAGCTGGTACTTTCCTGACCTTGACTGTGACTTTCAACAGGTGAGACACTCCTGAAGTGAGAGTGTGTTCAGTATGATCCCTCCTTCCCACCAACTTAATTTCTTTAAAAAAAAAAAAAAAAAAAGCCTTTCAAGATTTGGCCAAAGGAGATGCATTGTATTTGACGTCTTCAGCATTCCTGTAGATGCCTGTAGTAAGACCATTTTAGAGTATTTAGCTCTTTGGTTTTCTTTAAATATATCACAAATCATTTGTTTAAAAATATGTCTTTTCATGTTTCAGTACTAGCATTCATCACTGATAAATGAGCATCAACATTAAATAAATACGCTATACCTTTATCATTATCTCACTCAGAGGAGGCCACTGTGCCTATCCCGGGTCAGTTTGGGCTGAAGGTGAAGCAGTTAGGAAGTCTAGTCTCTCCAGCATCAGTGACCAACCAGGCAATTTTCACTTTCAGTCTTGCTATGACTTCTGCCTACAATGAACAGCATTGGGAATCTAATATCTTCTTCTGGCCTCTGCACATTCATGCACACATGGGATGCATATAAACTCACTCAAGCGAACACACAGATATATATATTTTTTTATTTCCTAAGTAAAATTAGGGTTGTTTTATATTGGCACTTGGAAATCTGTCTGAACTACAAGATCAGGAAGGCCTGGAACCTGGCCTCCATAGACTTGATAGGGTGCTTCAATTTGTACTTACTTAGGACTTTTGCCAGAAAAGAAAATTGAAGACTTTGTTAAAATTCTTTATTAATTACACTTTATTCACTTTGTATCCCCCCTGTGGTTCTCTCCCTCCTCCTGTCCCAATCCCTCCCTTCCTCCACCCTCTGCATGCATGGCCCTCCCCAAGTCTACTGATAGGGGAAGTCTTTTTTTCCTTCCTTCTGATCCAAGTCAATTAGGTCTCATCAGGAGAGCTGCATTGTCTTCTTCTGTGGCCTGGTAATGCTGCTTCCCCCTCAGGGGGAGGTAATTAAAGAGCAGGCCAATCAGTTCATGTCAGAGACAGTCCCTGTTCCTATTACAATGGAACCCACTTGGATACTGAACTGCCATGGGCTACATCTGTGCAGGGATCTTAGGTTATCTCCATGCATAGTCCTTGGTTGGAGTGAGTATCAGTCTCAGGAAAGACTGAAGACTTTTTTTTTTTTTAATTCAGATACTCACTCTCCACTTTTGTGGTATGAAAACAACAGTGCTCTTGAGCAGAAGTTACTTTCCTGGACAATCATTGATGACAATGACATAATTCACTCATTAACGAATCCAGTCCTATAGGTGGTACTCATGTTCACCCAGCTCTCCATTTGCCTCCATTACAGAATGAAACAAGGAAAGGAAAGGGAGATGATAGACAGGGGACTGGATTGACAATAAAGAATTCATAGAAAGGAAAGCAGAAAGCATGCAAAGGAAGAAGCAGAGCAGCGTGAAGAGAGAATGACGATGCTGTTTTATGAACGCATCGCCTCATTCGTTCCTGGGGTCTGCTTGATGGTAGTAGGCCTGAACCATATTGGATCTTAAAGTCCAGATCTTATAAAGAGAATCAAACGAAAGGGAAGGGAAGCATGCCCTTCAAAATGGCAGGTGGATTTCTACACTAAGTTATCAATTTTGTAACTTCGAAGTTTACTCTGGAGAAAACCCAGAGCACTCACAAATGATGCCCAGAACAACCAACATCCAGCTGTTTGTTGATCCGGAACTATATACTTCTGTGGTTTTTGTATTTTTTTTTTAAACTACGCTTGTCCAACTTAGGCAAAACAATAAAGGGGTCATTCTCACAGACTTTAGAGTTCTTTTTCCAGTATAGTTTGAGGACTCCTTAGACACACTCCAGTATACACAGCAGGCTTACCTGTAGGCTGTGGCCAGTCAGGACAGTATGTTAGGACTTGAAAACCCTGTTTTCAACCTGCTTAGCAAGTTAGAATTGCAGTGTCAACAAAAGGGAGAGTGAGTGCAGGTATTCTAAGCAACTGCCTTGTCAGCCCCCCTTACAGGTGCTCATGAGATACCAAAAGGAAATAGCAGGTAGGCATTTGGGGAACAGAGCAGGGACCCTCTTATCCAGAATAAAGACAGTCGTGACTGAAATCAGAGTTCAGCCATCATATCTCCTAGGTGGAACCTGGGCCTCAAGTTCACCTAATTTCTTAGTGTGCAGTGTTCTAAGAGGTTAAACCCAACCCTTCCCTGTTCTTCATAAGGGTCTTATCATATGTAGGGAAATGTTAGTAGGGCCACCAGCTGTCATTGTTTGAAGAGATTTCCCAGTTTAGGTTCCAAGTCCTAAGAAAGCTGTCAGGGGCAGAGAAAGCTTCGCACACCAAGAGGGATCCTTGACATGACTAAGAAGGATCGTCACTGCGAGCCCTTGATTTCACCTCAGTTCCCAGGAAACTAGTGTCAGAGCCAAAAGCGGGTAGACTGTCCTTTTCACTCTCGATCTACATTCAGCATGCAATATTGGAGGTGGTGGTGTCAGAACCAAGAAGCTATAGATGTTTCTTGGCTGAAGAACTGGTTGAATCCAGCTTCCCTTGTGTTTGGGCAGTCTGAGAAGCAACTCCTGAGGACTGCTAGGTCGACAGCGGGAGACAAGCGTTGCTGCGGGTGTGACTCCCATGACTCTGGTGATGTCTGCAAGTTCCGTTGCTCTGGATAGGAGGAAAGCTTAGATTGAAGAACTGTCAAGCAGGAATCTGAGCCCACAGCTGCCTGACTTAGAGTCTCTTCACTAGGCTAGTTTTCCTTCCTAACAGGGGTTTCTTACCTTCTAAAGGGCCCAGTCTGACTCAACCCACCAAAACCTAGACTCGAGCTGAGTTTTATCATCACAGGCTTCACTTGAATTTCTGGAAGGATCTGTCCTATGTTATCTGACACTAGAGCCACAGCGCTGCTGCCGATGGATGCCACATACTCCATACATGGAAATAATTCAAAGCAGCAGCTATTGCAGGGAAGGGTTCCTCTGCTGTTGTTGTTCAAGACAGGGTTTCTCTGTGTAACCTGGACTCGTGTTGTAAACCAGGCTGGCCTCGAACTCGCAGAGATCCTCCTGCCTCTGCCTTGCCGAGTGATGGTATCACAGGCGTGCACCACCACTCCTGGCTGGAAGGGCTTCTTTTTGAGTCGATGTTGATCATTGTATGTAAGATGCTATGTGCCTTCAAAAGAGTAACGAAAAGAAAATTGGAGTGAAAACAGGCAAAGTCAACCAGAGGAGCTTCCAGCAGGGCTTCTCAAGGCCCGGTGGCCGCAGATTGCTTAGTCAGATGTTGGCTGGGTTTTTTGTTTGTTTGTTTGTTTGTTTGTTTGTTTGTTTTCAGCACATTTCTACTGATGAGCTGAATGCAAAGAGCAGCACTCAACATTCACATGAAACACAAGGTGGGTAAGAAGCCAGGAGTTTCCAGGACACTGCAGTTGTCTGAAAGAACCATGGCTGCTTCGTTGGTAGCTGACCACTGACTTTTAGATAAACATGATAGATCACAGCAATAAAAAAATAAAAAATAAAAAAATAAAAAAAACCTGGATCTCACTTAAGTTCACGTCTAAGTACTGACAAGTTTGACACCTTCTCAGGGTTGTAAGTTGTTTTTTTTTTTCAGGAAAAGAAAATGTCTAGGCATGCACACTCCAAATGTATGCTTGCAACTTGAATATATTTCAGGGCTATACAAATATTACTCCTGCACAGGGAAGAAGAGAAACCAGCCAACTGTAAACACTTTCACTACACAGGTAGAGGCATGAAGGAAGCATTACTCACCTATTCCTGCTACTCTGGGCTGAGAGGACAATTCTAGCTTTAAGGCTACAGGAAGTCCTTGCCTCTGTTCTGTTTGAATTCTTCTCAACACCAGGTACTTTATGTTTGCCTTTGCATGGTCAGCACAGCTAACAACAGAGTATTATGCCAAAAGCGCTATCACAGTCCTGTAGGTCTTCCTTCAAGGAAGGTCATTTCCTAACAAAATATTCATTTGCAATGGAGACACCCAGAATTCTGAGACTCAGGGCATCAATATTCAGGATCCACAGGCAAGGTTCAGCAGGTGAGCTGTGTCAAAAGGACAAAGAATGCTTCAGGATTGTAGAACTGCCATAGTAGATCAGAGCCAAGACTCCGGGAGTCTTGTCTGCTTTCTTATAGAGCCCAGGACCACCAGCCAGGGATGGCATCACCCACCATGGGCTGGACACTCCCCCATCAATCACTAATTAAGAAAATGCTCTACAGCT